GAGGGCAGTGGAGGATGGCCCAGATCCTTGGGCTCCTGCATCCACGTGGGAGACTGGGAAGAAGCACCTGGTTCCTGGCTCCGGATCCTCAAAGCTCCAGCCGTTGCAGCCATTTGGGGAGTGAACCAATGGAAGGAAAACCTCTCTGTCTCTCCCTCTCACTGTCTGTAACTCTACCTCTCAAATAAATAAATAAAATCTTTAATGGTTTTGTGAAACAAGTAATCTTTTTTTCAGAAATTTATTGGTACAACTCTACTGTACACTATGTGTTCACGGTACTGAGTGTGTTTACTTTGAGTCCTGGATAGGAAAGGGACATTGTTTGTGGACAATGTGCATTATGAACAACTGCATGAAATTAAAAAAAATTCGCATCATTTTTATGGAAAATAGAATTAAAAGTTTATTTTTATATAAAAAAATGAAATCCATGCATACCTATATGGATAACTAATTACAATTGTGAAAAACTAGGGCAATCTTAGTAGACTGTACCAAAATTCTGTAATTGAAATTTTGTTGTATTATAAATACTGCATATAATTATGGTAAGAAATATGTACTAAATAAGGTGTCGCTGATCAGAAACACACATAAAACAGTTAAGCATTGATCAACTGATGAGAGCGTTGTGACCAGACGCTCACAGGAACCAACTCCCATATTTTCTCTCGGGGCTGTGGCTCTGGATTTGCTAATTCAGTGCTGAGGATGACTTTGTAGACCTAAGCACTGTAACAAGAATTAAGTATGACCCAGAACGCACACCTCATCCACTTGAATCATTGCTTCAGTTAATCCGTGTGCAAGTATTATCATGTATAATCTTTACCATTTTTTTCAGATTGTGCAATCATTACCAAATCAATTTTAGAATATTTCACCACTGGGGCTGGCGCTGTGGCATACTGGGTGAGGTTGCCACCTGTGGTGCTGGCATCCTATATGGGTGCTGGTTCAAGACCCGGCTGCTCCACTTCTGATCCAGCCCTCTGCTGTGGCCTGGGAAAGCAGTGGAAGATGGCCCAAGTGCTTGGGCCCCTGCAACCACATGGGAGACCAGGAAGAAACACCTGACTCCTGGCTTTGGATTGGCACAGCTCTGGCGGTTGTGGCCAACTGGAGAGTGAACCAGCAGATGGAAGATCTCTCTCTCTCTCTCTCTCTCTCTCTCTCTCTCTCTCTCTGCCTCTCCTCTCTCTTTGTAACTGTGACTTTCAAATAAATAAATAAACCTTAAAAAAAAGAAAAGAATATTTCACCACACTGGAAGGAAACTCCTGTCCACCGATAGTCATCCCCACTTCTGCTCAATCCCTAGCCTCTACAGGTTCATCTGCAGTGGGCATTTCATGCCCATAGAATTGTATGATGCAGGGTCTTTTGTAACTGGCTTCTTTCACTTAGTGTGACATTTTAAGAATTAATTTCTTTTAGGTGTATCTTAGAAGTAGAGTGCTCCGGCCGGCGCCGCGGCTCACTAGGCTAATCCTCCGCCTTGCGGCACCAGCACACTGGGTTCTAGTCCCGGTCCGGGCGCCGGATTCTGTCCTGGTTGCCCCTCTTCCAGGCCAGCTCTCTGCTATGGCCAGGGAGTGCAGTGGAGGATGGCCCAGGTGCTTGGGCCCTGCACCCCATGGGAGACCAGGAAAAGCACCTGGCTCCTGGCTCCTGCCATCGGATCAGCGCGGTGCGCCGGCCGCAGTGCGCTGGCCGCGGTGGCCATTGGAGGGTGAACCAACAGCAAAGGAAGACCTTTCTCTCTGTCTCTCTCTCTCTCTCTCTCACTGTCCACTCTGCCTGTCAAAAAAAAGAAAAAAAAGAAAAAAAAAAGAAGTAGAGTGCTCCATCATACACTAACTCTGTTTCACCTCTTCAGGAGCTGCCAAACTTCTCCCAGCCCTTGCTCTTTTCATGTTCTTACCAGGTTTGTATGAAGCTTTGTTTCTCCACACTCTCCAATTCTGTTTTTATTACAGCCATCTTCATGAGTGTGAAGTGGCATCTGTCATTTAGATTTCATTTTTCTGACATTATTAGGCATCTCTTCATGTCTTTATTGGCCATTTCATATGGTCTCTGTAGAAGTATCTTCAGATCCTTTGCCTATTTTTAAATTGGGTTGTCTTTTTTATTGTTGGTTTATGAATTCTGAGTACCAATACCTAGTAAAATATGACTTGAAAGCATTTCTCATATTTCATAAGTTCTGCACCTTTGTCTGTTGAAGTGTAAGTTTTTTTTTTTTAATTTATTTGACAGATAGTTATAGACAATGGGAGATAGAGACAGAGAGAAAGATCTTCCTTCTGTTGGTTCACCTCCAAATGGCCACTACGGCCGGTGCTGCACCGATCCGAAGCCAGGAGCCAGGTGCTTCTTCCTGGTCTCCCAGGTGGGTGCAGGGGCTCAAGCACCTGGGCCATCCTCCACTGCCTTCCCGGGCCACAGCAGAGAGCTGGACTGGAAGAGGAGCAACCGGGACTAGAACCTGGCACCTACATGGGATGCCAGCGCCGTAGGTGGAGGATTAACCAAGTGAGCCACGGTGCAGGCCCAAAATGATGTTTTAAAAACATGATTTAAAATGTATTATTTTTATTTATTTGAGAGGTAGAGTTACAGACAGTGAGAGGGAGAGACAGAGGGAGAGGTCTTCCTTCCATTGGTTCACTCCCCAAATGGCTGCAACAGCCAGAGCTGCACCGATCCGAAGCCAGAAGCCAGGTGTACAAGGCCGGATGTACAGGCCACCATCTTCTGCAGCCTTCCCAGGCCACAGCAGAGAGCTGGACTGGAAGAGGAGCAGCCAGGACCAGAACCGGCTCCCAAGTGGGATGCCGGCGCCACAGGCGGAGGATTAACCTACTGCAGCACGGAGCCAACCCCATATAGTTTTAATTCTTATACTTAGGTCTGTGATCCATTCAAACAGACTTTTCTTATGGAGAGTAATTAGACAGATGTGAGGGGCAGATGTTTGGCAGAGCAGTTAGGTTGAGGCTGGGTCACCTGTACCACACATCAGAGGGCCTCATTCTTGTTCTGGCTACCCTGCTTCCAATTCAGCTTCCTGCCCGGAGGAAGTAGATGATGGCTGAAGGCCATAGGTCCCTGCCACTTAAGTGGGAGACCCAGATGGAATTCTGAGCTCCTGGCTTTGGCTTGACCCAGCCCCAGTTATTGCAGGTATTTGGGGAGTCATAAAAATGATGGAAGCTTGCTCTCTCCTCCCTGCCACCCAGCTGTCTGCTTTCAAATAAAAAATGAATATAAATTTTTAGAGATGTGAAATTTTGACCCAATACTGTATTCAGGAGTCTACCGTTCTTGGCTTCCTGGATGGTGTATACGGACCCTGACAAATGGGGAAGTAGCCTTTCGTGTCCTCCCTAGGGGTGAGTCTGGGGAAAAGGATGTGCTGCTGCTGTCTAGTAGCCTCTCCCCGAGCCGATCTCTGCAATCCTCATAGCTGTTCAGATTCGCAACTACCCATCCCGACCACCTTAGGGGTAACCAGAGTGGAAACCGTTTTCTATTGTCAGATAGCGGAGATTTAAAAAAAAAAAAAGTGATGCTTTGCAAGCCAAATCCAACTCAAAAACATAGTCCACGTTTGCAAGGGGTCTTTAAAAAGTTCACAGACAATGTATACTGTGAAGATACTACATGGATTTCACAACTTTTTGCTCTATATTCATCCATAAACTTTTTGAAGCATCCTATTAGATTTAAAAGTGTTTTATGTGAATTTTAGCTGCCAGCACTTAAGCAACTGAGAGATTAAAACAACCTAGATTTCCAGCTTCCCTTGAGAAACTGGAAAATCCAGCAAGACTGCACTCAATCCCAAAAAGCAGGTTGGAACCAAGCAACAGCTGGCCCTGGTACTAATCTCCCTGCTGCACATAAAGGCTCCTCGTTCACTGTAACTCTGTTGTTCTGGCAATAAATTAGGGGTCTTCCATAGCCGCCTTCTACCCTGGATTATCGCCTCTTTGGAAACTCTAAGTTCCTCCCCTGTTGAGCCTGTATCCATCCACTCTCGAGGTCTTCTGGCTGTGTTGTGCACATCCAGGTACCCTGCTCTGCACCCACCTGGAGGGCCGGAAGCACTGCCTCTTTTTTTAAATTTTTTATTTTTTTGATAGGCAGAGTGGACAGTGAGAGAGAGAGAGAGAGAGAGAGAGAGAAAGGTCTTCCTTTGCCGTTGGTTCACCCTCCAATGGCCGCCGCGGCCGGTGCACCGCCGCCGGCGCAACGCACTGATCCGATGGCAGGAGCCAGGTGCTTCTCCTGGTCTCCCATGGGGTGCAGGGCCCAAGCACTTGGGCCATCCTCCACTGCACTCCCTGGCCACAGCAGAGAGCTGGCCTGGAAGAGGGGCCACCGGGACAGAATCCGGCGCCCCGACCGGGACTAGAACCCGGTGTGCTGGCGCCGCTAGGTGGAGGATTAGCCTAGTGAGCCGCGGCGCCGGCCCTAGCACTGCCTCTTGATCTGTGTGGGAGTCACCCAAGCCTACACGTTGTACAGGTCTGCAACGCCTGGCACTGCAGCAGTCATCTCGTGAACATGAGATTAAACTGCCCAGATTGGACACTGCAACTTGCTGAAAATGGCAGAACAGGAAGAGATTTATAATGTCACTGAGGGTATTAAATAAAGCACACGTGGGTGGACTTCAGGTGGACTCACTAGAAATAAATACACTGTTCACACACGATGTCAATCTTCAGCCACCCCAGTAGCATCATACAGAAGCTTCTTGATCACAATGTGGCCCAGAAGAGAGTCAAGTTCGCGAGTAACTACACTTTAATCACATCTTTGAACAAGAAGTTTACCATAAACTAGTTAAGGATTTGAACATAAAAGATATACAGTCAGCCATACATATTAAATACTAAGTTATTTTTAAAAAATCCAAAGTCATCTGTAACTGTATTACAAAAGACTAAACCCACCGGCCACTGAACAAGAAACACAATTCCAACTCCAGGATTCAAAGTAATTCTTTATTGATAAACATTTACACTAGAATTAGAAATGTCAGTAGAAAAATAAAATTTAAATAATTTTCTATTGTACAAAGATTTGATCGTTTTGACTCTAGCAGTTTGTGAAATAACCGAATACAAAAAGTAAGGCCAATTTTAGTCACAACCAGCCTTACAGAGTGCACAGAAGAGACTCCAAGTTCACAACACTTTGTGTGTGTGGGCTGCGGATGGCACGAGGGCTTCACATTCCAGGAAAAGCCTCCTCAGGGGAGGTGGTGTGTGCTGCACTGTGATTAAGCACTGAATTTGGATCAGAACATTCGGAAAAGACACTGGAATCAAAAGCCAACATATAATTTAAAAACTTAAAAAGAAAACAAAAACCTAAGGAAGAATGCAATTATTCGCAGGCGCTTTCCCTCAGTAGTTTGAACATCTCGTAAGTAGCGTCCTGCTGCAGAGTCGTTATGCTTCTCTTACAACATGCACTACTCTTTTTTTTTTTTTTTTTTGATAGGCAGAGTTAGACAGTGAGAGAGAGAGAGAAAGGTCTTCCTTCCGTTGGTTCACCCCTCAAATGGCCGCTACATCCGGCGCGCTGTGCCGATCTGAAGCCAGGAGCCAGGTGCTTCCTCCTGGTCTCCCATGGGGTGCAGGGCCCAAGGACCTGGGCCATCCTCCACTGCACTCTCAGGCCACAGCAGAGAGCTGGACTGGAAGAGGAGCAACCGGGACAGAATCCAGCACCCCAACCGGGACTAGAACCTGGTGTGCCAGCACCGCAGGCGGAGGATTAGCCTAGTGAGCCGCAGCGCCAGCCATCACTACTCTTTTGTGTATGGAGTTTTCCCAAAATGCTTTTCCCCTTAAGCCCCAGATTAAAGAATCAAGAGGTCAGCTTTTACACTTATGGGCTGCCGCCCTTCTCCTCACAAAAACCAAACCAAACCAAACAAACAAAAAAACAAACAAGAAGAAGGAAAAGTGGAAGCAAAGCTGAGAGAATGGCAGCTACATTTGTCTTAAAGAAAACTGGCTGGCAAAAACTCCCAGAAAGCGAAAGAAAGTAAAATAAAATGTTTAACTTAACTGCCAACATTCTTCAATCTGAGCAATCACTCCCAAGTATGTGAGACCAAAAAAAAGGACATTCTTTATCGTTCAATTAGTTTCTCTCTGAAAACCTTTCGCTAAGGAAAGTCTATATACAATTATTCACAGGCAAGCGCTTCACATACAGTGATGGATGAAATATTCAACAGTTTGAAGATAACATTTTATATCTTAAGTTTTAAGAAACAGTATATAGTATAACAAGAAAAAGATGGAACAAAGACATGTTTCAAAATTCCTTAATTTTGTGTCTTGGTTCTAAAGAAAAATAACCTAACATTTTAATCATGGGTCATTATGTTTAAAAGTCAGTTTTCAGGGGGAGGGGCCCTGTGAAACTGGATCTGAAAGAAACGCTCAGCTGAGAGCTCTCACAGGAAGCATCCTTCTCCAAAGACCGTAGAGACCATTTCCCATAACGAAAGTGCAAAACTGCCCCAATTACTTACACTCGAAGGATAATTTCCAAAATCACAACTCCTTGCATTGAAAACTGGAATCTTTAAAACTCTGCTTGGAAGAAAATTTTGAGTTTCTTGTTGGGGAAACTGGAAAGGACATGTGGCTTCATTCCAATTCTACTTTTAACTTTCCGCCCTGGGTATCTGTTACCATAATTTGTGATAAGTGGTCTAATTAGTCAGGAGAAAATATCCAGTTAATTTTTCTGATCCCTTTGTCAGTTTTCTCTATGACTGTCCCTCCAAACTTGGTCTTCCTGGGTATTCTTATCAGAAGCCAGAGTATACACTGCTTGAAATGCAACAGATATGTTCTTGTGCATATGACTTCGAGAGCTGTGAGACTTGACTGCACAACGAAAACTCACCTTTAAAAAATGTCAGATTTAGTTACCTGAAACCTATTTTGAAAACAGACAACAACAACAATTATTTCATACAAAACTGTTTAGGTGGTAAGGATCAAGTTGGGTAATTAATTTTTATAATCCTTTCCCTTTTAAAGGTCACAGTTTTCAGGCCTTTTAATAAAAAACAAAGTTAAGGAGCAGAAACTCAGTTTTTTTTTTTAATTCATCTATTTAATTCTCTTGAATAAAAACGTAAAGGGCAGGGAGGGAGCTAATTGGAAATGAAACTTCAGGCACTTTATGGGAGCTGACACCCAATACTGTAAGGGGGTCGAGGAGTCCCCCCAGGTAAACACAGTAAGACTAAGAGATCAACAACCACCACCTCTAGTTTCAGCTGCACTTCTGGTTTCTTAAAAGCCATCAGTAAACAAACTACTAAGAAAAAATGTAACAGAATGTTCATGAAGTATCTTACTTGTGTCTCTGTCTAATGAGTATTCTAACCAATCTGGCTTTGTCAATTCAACCCATTTAACAGGGAATGTTTTCAATTAAGCTAAATAAAATTAATAGAACTAAAAGTGATAGGAAAAGGCAATATAAAAATTCTAAAGGTCTCCATTAGCTAGCTTATTTGAGAAAATCTACTAGACAACAAATTCAGATCTCTTAAAATATATTAAATAATCCGAGGTCAAGATAGGTATCTATAAAATGTCACATTATTCAATAGTTATCTACTTTGTCTTCTAACATTGGAACCAAAGCCACTACTTGAGTTATACTTTGATTTTTTTTGCCCGTTACATTTCATCAAACTTGTTCTCAAAGCCATTCTCAACCAAAACCTAATTGGCATTTACTGTCATGAAGATTTAACAAAAGCAAAGTTTGCCAAATTTTAATCAAGATTAGATCAACTAGGATTGTAGTACAGCATACCCTGCTCATTTAAAAGAAACCGTGTGAAATATGCAACACTTCATTTTGTCACAGAATATTGTAAATGTCAGTGCAAATGACCTTGACCCAGAGGCATGGCTGGCCTGCCTTGGGTGAAGGTGTAATGTGTTAAGCTACTTAAATTCAGTATCTATGAAAAAGAAAGTCAAGAAAGTTGTTTTGTTTTGGTGGGAAACGCCAAGAGTCCACAAAGAGCTCAATTGTTGGAGCATCAAACCGAAGACAGGGCTGGGATGTTGGTTTTCGCACTCATGTCCATTCAAGTGGCTTCTGTGTGAAACACTGCACTCCGTGTTTTCTTTCTGAAGGCTCTATAAAACTCAGGGTGGATATCACAGCAGAGGGGGTATGCTAGAGAGTTGCTAAAATCCGCAGAAAGGACACCAGCACCACGCAGAAGGTCTGTCCCGTGCCCAGGGTGAGGGCTTCAAAGGGTATCATTTCCTTCCCTGCCGCTCGGTAAACGCCAGCAATTGCTGCACCTGATTAAAAATAGCAGGGGAGTTGAGAAAAAAAGGGAAAAAAAAATAAGGTTAACCAAAACATGAAAATACAGCACTTTAATAAAATTCTACTCCAAGTGGACTGTTCTAGATTTTTTAGATTAAAACTGAAATATATAAATATTTTGTTTTTCCTATTCTTTCTGCTGACTACTCTAGTTTTAAAGTACTCCTTAAATAATCTGCAAGTCACTGAAATGCGCTTTTAAATGTAGACTCCCTGAAATGAGTCTTATGGATTTACTCAATAAAATAATCTAGATTAATAAAATTTTTTAAAAAAAGACCATTCCCAAATGACCTGACTGTGAACTCAAAAACATCTCTTTATTCCCATGCCAATTATCCCCATGCCTAGCACTTAACTGGTGTCTATAAATTCTTGGCATTAAATGACAAATCTCTTCTGAGTGAGAGTGAGCAAAAAATCTTCCAGACTGCAGGGAACCCCTGCTCTACCTCCTATGGTGCTCAAAGTTCCTTTCTAGAAACGGATAGAGGAAGAAGGAAGGGGTGGGAAAAGGCAGAGGTGAGGCTCTAAAACATAACACTGTTATTAATTCAAAGGGAAGAGGAGAGAAACAGATTCCTTTCTGTTTCCCATATCATTGTTTTCCTTATGTTAGGGTAACTTTATAGAAACTGACAAAACAAAATAAAAACCATCTACTCAGATACCCATCTGAGTTGCTATAACAACTCAGCACCATACCAAGAAAGTCAAAATTTCATTAGTTCAAAAAGACAAATCCAGATTTCTCAGATGCCCCCCGGTATACATCACTCACACACGCACTCACACACACAGTTTGTTCCAAACAAAACCCTTCTTGGTCACGGAGTGTCTATTCATGTAAGTATGTATTTACGGAATACTTCTGTTTTCTAGTGTGTAATCCCTAGCCTCCAGATGCTCAGAATCTAGCGAGGGACATCAGATTAAAATTAATTATCATTAATGCAAGATAATACCAGCATGGCAATCAAATGTCCATGCATTTTACCAGTGTGATAAGAGACAGTAACATTTTAACAAGAATAAGGAACAATAGTAATCTGAGGTTGGTTGCCTTGAATACTGACGACTTCAAAATGCCCTCCCTCCTCCAGTGTCAATGCATACATTCCGGTCAGTAACATCTGAAAGGCACATGTTTCACTGGGCCCCTCCGTTACTCAGCTCTTCAAAAAGAGTGAGTTCTGCAGAAAGAAACTTGAGGAACTTGAACTTGGCCCTAAAACGGGATCTGGAGGGAAAAAGGGAAGAAAGAAAAAAGCCTACCAGAGGCAGCAGCAAAGCCAGAAGGGAACAGTCTACCTGCTAAAGACTGGCACCTACTGCACACCTACCAGGTGTGAGGGTGGTCGTACTGCTGCTATTTTACTTAAGAGGAAACTGAGATGGGTCCAAGAGACAAGGTCACTTTGTCCCACAAAAGCACTTGTCAAGGAGGCAGAGGGAGATTTCTGCTTAAAGCTCCAAGTTTAAAATCACAGTGAAAAATAGTTACAAATTAGATTTTAAGAATATATTTATGTTTGCATGTACATTTACAACAACAGAATAACACCAAAATGCAACCATGGTCTTAACTGTGAGATGGGATAATGGAGACTTGGAATTTTGCTTACTTATAATTTTTAATTCATACAAAATGCACAGGTTTGTACTTAAAAATGAACTTAAAAATGATTTAAAGTTATTCCTGTTATTGTGGCCTGTGACATGGGGAAAAGCCAAAAACAAACAAAAATATAACACACACAAAACAAGCCCGGTAACAGGAAACAATTCCTAACATCAGTGTTATTCCGAGTCTCGTTCAGTAAGTCTTGAAGGGAGAAAATAAGCAGGACACATCTCAGGTGCTTTTCTCAACAAGGATTCTGTCATTGGCGTGACCCTTCCATCCTTACAAGAAGCCACAGCTGGCCGAGGAGAAGTGACTGGTCAGCCTGCAATGCCACCAGTCACAGGGCAGCTGATCAGAAAGGAGCAGCAGCTTCCAGACAGGCCGGTGACCTGTCTCACAAGATGGACCTCACAAAACTTAACACGGCTTCCCTGAAGCCAGGGAACAAAATCTGAAGGCAAAGAGGCAGGCCCAATGACCGGGTCTGGGTGTGAGAAAAAAACCAACACATGAAAAGACACTCCTTTTTTTCTTCAAACCACGCAGATGATGTTTCTAAAATGGGGCCTGAAAGGAACTGGCTAATCATATTAAATGTTTCAACTAGTATTTAATGTCTAACATACTTGTCAAGATTCCAGCAGTAATTGGTCCCACGATGCCCATCAACAGGATGCTTACAGACATGAACCTACCATATTTGTGATGTCTGAGGGTGAAGAGGGCCAGTAATCCAGCAGGGACATGAAAGAAGAGAGATGACACCAGTGCCCACAGGAACACCCCGTACCACATCTCTGTGAGGGAAGACAAAGAAGGGCTGCATGTCACCAACTTTCCAGACACGACCACAGGAAAAGGGTGCCACATCACACCCGCTTTCTTTCAGAAGCACCCGCTTACTTTCAGAAGCACCCACTTGGGGAGGAGGCATTTAGCCTGGCGGTTAAGATGCTAGAGTTTGGTTCCTGGCTCCAGCTCCTGACTCCAGCTTCCCACCAAATCGGACCCTGGAGGCAGCAGTGATGGCTCCTGACACCCACATGGGAGACACAGATTACATTCCTGGCTCCTGGCTCTGGCCCAGGCCCCAGCAGGCACTAGGAGAAAGAACCAGTGGATGGGAGTTCTTTCTGTCTCTATCTTTCAAATAAATAAAAATTAAAACAGCTGCAACACAGTTTCAGTTTTAAATTATCTTCCACAGACTACCACCTGTTTTTGTAAAAAAAGACATTTTTTTGGTGCGAGGGCATTTGGTACAGTAGCTAACGTTACCACCACTTAGGATGCCTGCATCCCAGTACAGAGTGCTTGGTTCAAGTCCTGGCTACTGTACTTCTGACCCAGCTTAATGCACATTTTGGAAGGCAGCAAATGAAGGCTTGCATACTCCCACATGGAGGAACCAGATGGAGGGAGTTCCACATCCTGTTTTCAGCTTGGCCCAGCCCTGGCTGTTGCAGGCATTAGGGGACTGGTCCAGCAAGTGAACAATCTCTCTCACTCACTCACTCTGCCTTTCAAATAAAATTAAAATAAAGACTTTTTTGAACCCATGCCCATTTATTTACATATTGTCTATGGCTGCTTTCCAAAGATGCTAACAGTGGCAGAAACCATATGGCTTACAAAGCCCGAAATATTTACAGGCTAGTCCTTGACAGAAAAAGCTGAACAACCTCTGAGAAGAAACCTCTACCCTCAAACTAAAAAATGCTTCAACTAGATTTGCAAATTGATCTAAGTAACTTCCCTCCCATGCAAAGCACAAGCATAAGGCACCAACTGCTAGGGTATTATGATGATCTTGCCTGCCTTTTGATCATTCAGTCCTCTAACATGGAAAAGGTCCACAATGACATTTATTCAAGAGTCATTTTAAAGACAGTGCAACGTCAAACTAACCCTCCTTTTAGGACATCAAATCCTTTAAGATACGAAATAAATACTAGAAAAAACAGAAGTACGTAGCTTAAAGACAAATGGCAGGTCAGTGACACAGCTATGCATAACAACCTACACATGAGGTGCCTTAGAAAAAACAAAAACAAAACCACTACCATCCTGCCTTCAAGAAACTTCATGATTTGGCAAACGATAGACACCTTGTCATTGCCCCATGAACCCAAGGCGAAACTGCAGAATTCTCCAGAGTGCTCTGGCTACTCACGTGGAGAGAATGAAGGGGCTACAGCACGTAAAACCCACTGTCCACCAGGCAGCAGCAGGCAGTTTTGGAGATCAGCAAACAGCTCAATCTGCAGGAGTTCTCGACTTCCATGCTGCTGACACTCAAACTCTAATTCTTCCCTGTGAGGGCTGCCTGTGTATTGCTGGAAACACAGCAGCATCCCTGGCCAGAAGCACTCTCTTCCCAGCTGTATTAACCAGAAATATCTCCAGGCACTGCCAAGTGTCACTAGGGTGGGAAAAACAGCCTGATTAAAAATCACTGGCTTGGGGCCGGCCTGTAACACTGGCATCCCATATAGGAGACCCGGAAGAAGCTCCTGGCTCCTGGCTTTGTATTGGCTCAGCACCGGCAGTTGTGGCCATTTGGGGAGTGAACCAGTTGGTGGAAGACCTCTCTCTCTGTGTAACTCTTACAAATAAATAAAATCAACCTTTTTTATAAAAATATTTATTTATTTGAAAGTCAGAGTTACACAGAGAGAGGAGAAGCAGAGAGAGAGAGGTCTTCCATCCGTTGGTTCACTCCCCAACTGGCCGCAACGGCCGGAGCTGCACTGATCCGAAGCCAGAAGCCAGGAGCTTCTTCCAGGTGTCCCACACAGGTGCAGGGGCCCAAGGATTTGGGCCATCTTCGACTGCTTCCCAGGCCATAGCAGAGAGCTGGATCAGAAGAGGAGCAACCGGGACTAGAACTGGTGCCCATATGGGATGCCGGCACTTCAGGCCAGAGCGTTAACCCTCTGCGCCACAGCGCCAGCCCCAATAAAAAAAAATCTTAAAAAAATAAATAAATAAAATCATTGGCTTGACTAAAACAGTTTATAAGAGCAACAATATGGGGGCTGGGGTTGTGGTGCACTGGGTATAGCCGCAGCCTGCAATGCTGGCATGAGTTCATGTCTTGGCTGCCCCATTTCTGAACCAACTCCCTGCTAATGCACCTGGGAAAGCGGCGAGGATGGGCAAGGAAGCATCTGGACCCCTGCCATGCACATAGGAGACCTGGGACGAAGCTCCTGGCTTCAGCTTGGCCTGGCACTGGCCACGGCAGCCATGTGGGAGTGAACCAGCTGGTAGAAGATCTCCCCATCTGTCTTTCCCTCCCTCTCTGTAATTCTTTAAAAATAAATAAATAAATTTTAAAAAGGGAAGGAGGTGGGGCCAACATTGTGGTGTGGCAGGTGAAGCCACCAAGTAGGACGGCAACATCCCATATGGATGCTATTTCAAGTCCTGGTTGTTCCACTTCCTTTTTTTTTTTTTTTTAAAGGCTAATTTTTTTTTTTTTTTTTTTTTTTAAGATTTATTTATTTATTTATTTATTTGAAAGAGTTACAGAGAGAGAGAAGAGGCAGAGAGAGAGGTCTTCCATCTGATGGTTCACTCCCAGATAGCTGCAACGGCCGGTGCTGTGCTGATCTGAAGCCAGGAGCCAGGAGCTTCTTCAAGGTCTCCCACACGGGTGCAGGGGCCCAAGGACTTGGGCCATCTTCTACTGCTTTCCTAGGCCATAGCAGAGAGCTGGATCAGAAGTGGAGCAGCCAGGTCTCAAACCAGCGCCCATATGGGATGCCGGCGCTTCAGACCAGGGCTTTCACCCGCTGTGCCACAGCGCCAGCCCCATGGGGTGTTCCACTTCTAATGCATCAGCTCCCTGCTAGGCCTGAGAAAAGCAGTGGAAGGTGGCCAAAGTAATGGGCCTCTGCACCCACATGGTACACCTGAACGAAGCTCTAGGTTTTGGCCTGGTCCAGCCCTGGCCGATGTAGCCAACTAGGCAGTGAATCAGCAAATGAAAAATCTCTCCATGTCTGGCTGCTGTCTGTATACCTCTGCTGTCTGTGTAACGCTAACTTTCCAATACATAAATAAATCTTTAAAGAACAACAAAAAGAGCAACAGAAGTTAAAGCTACAAAGAGAGATGGGGTGGGGAGAGTCACTATGGGAAGCTTGGAACCCAGACTAAGGACTTCACAGGGAAGCTCTGGAAGGGCCGCCGCAGGTTCTGGGCAGTGAAGAGCTTCAGCACATCACGCTGTGCGCTCGCCAGATGCACCCAGTTGGAATATAAACCAGAAAACTATCTTTTCAGAGAGTAATTTGGAAGTGAAATGTGTATAACCTTTGCTACAACGACTTTATTTCCAGAACACATTCTACAGGAATGCGCACCCAGGACAGGAGGCTCCCAGCAGGGTTGCCACTGATGGTAAGAACTGGCTTGGGAAACATGAGTGCATCCACACGGTGGAGCTCCGCAGTCACTAACAGCATGACACGAGGTAGTCATTTTGCCTTGCAGTTAGGATGCCTCCATCTCACCTCACAACAGACACCCACTCCAGCTTCCAACTCCTGCTTTCTGCTAACACAGACCCTCAAGCAGTTGGGTCCCTGCCAAAGCCTGAATTTCATTCCTGGCTCTAATGTTTGGGAAGTGAACCAGCAAATGCAAGTTTTCTGTCACTAACATAAATAAACTAAAAATTCTAAAAATATTTGATAAAGACAGAGTGATGTGTTAAGATGCCTGAGCTATACTGCTAACAGAAAAAAAGCATGTTGCGAAGTTATGTAGAATACGATCTGTTTCTCAAAGAACAAAATATATGTGTGTAAATGCTTCTACATATTCAGAGAAAACACTGAACATGCTGATTTAATAAATATTTACTCTGCACACAGGTGCTGCTCCCATGCTTTACAAACACTAACTCACGCCGTCTCAGAACAGCTCTGAAGTGCCTACTATCTGCAGCAGAGGGAGGTTAAGACACTAGTCAACGGGAGCAGATGCTTAGCAGTTAGGATGCTCGCGTCCCATACTGGAGTGCCTGGGTTTGATACACAGTTCTAGCTCTGGACTCCAGCTTGCCACCAATGCAGACCCTGGGAGGCAGCAGTGATGTCCTGTCACCCACGTGGGAGATCTGGACTGAATTCCTGCTTTTGTGCCCCCTACACACATTGTGGGCATCTGGAGAGTGAACCAGCAAATGAGAGGTCCCCCTATATGTCTCTCTGCCTCTCAAATGTAAAAAAATTAAATTAAAAATATAAACATATAAAAAACTAATATATGACACACTAATATTTCCATAAATATATGAGTATATATAAATATTCACATACATACATATATACACATATTCGTAATTACTACCCATTCTGCACCAAAGGAAAAACCAGGTTTCTAGCCAACAGTGCCAACCGAAACTGATCCTCAGCAGTCAGTGCCCACCTCTCTGGAAACACACTCCACTCCACTCCAGCCTCTTCTCCAGCCAGCAGTCAGGCTAGAAGGCTTCCTGGCCTCACTGCGGGGAGACTCACCCTCTCTCGTTAGCAGCAGCTCCGAGGCTGCAGTGCCTGGATCTGAGTACTGCCCCTTCCTCCTAAATGCACACCTGCAAGAGCTCTGGCACTCACAGACCCCTCCTGCCTAGATGCACTCTGGCTCAGTCGGAGCAGCCTGGCCTCCCAGGTAAGGCCCCTGCTACACCACCCATGGCCAACTCATCCCTAAGGCACAGCCAAGCATCATGCAATTCCCTTCCAAAGCAAAAACACCATCTTCAACCCCAGCGTCCTCACCAGCC